TTCTGTTTGATATTTTTATTACCTTGGATCCGTTTTGACAAAAAATAACACACACTGTGTTATATTATAATGAAATCAAGATAACAAAAATATAAAATAAAATTATTTACAAAATTATTTATTACAAAAAATCAAGTTACTCAATAACTTGCACGATCTCAATCCATTCCTACATTTGAAGTTGGTAAACGAGAAAGAAGGATAAGTCGGAAATTATATTTATTAAGAAAAATTTGAGAAGAAAATATAATTTTCCAAAATACCCTCCCTTTTAAAATCATTCAATTAGGCTTTAGTAAGTTTAGTCAGCAAGATAATTTTGTTCCAGTTTAAAAAAAATGTGATAAAATAGGTCTTTCATAAAATTTGGGACTAAAATAGTCCCTCACAAATAGGCAAAGAACAATTTTGGCCATTTTATCTATTTTGATCCATTAAACGTCGATCATCTGATGATCTGATTAGAAGAGTAGATGTTTTAGATTCAACTTAAGTTAAGAAAGACATAGGGCATATTGTATAAAAAAATGATCTTTATTTATTAGAATTAAATAAAAATATGCACAAAATAGGACGCAATGGAGAAAAAGCAATCATGTAACCAACCCCACTTAATGGGATAAAGGTTTTGTTGTTGTTGTTGTTGTTGTTGTTGTATCTATTTTGATCCAAGCGTGGGCAATAAAAAAGTGATTGACAGCTAAGTCGACTGTGGTAGAAATGAAAATGTTAAGATGAATGTAAAACAAAACTAAAAAGAGTAAATTAAAAAATGATTATATCAAAAAAATGAATAAAGTGATGCTACTGCAGAAGAAAATTGAAAATAGATTTAAGTGATTTCGATATATCCAATAGGTAAAGAGTGAACTATATTAAAAATGAGAAAAGGTAGACCTAAGGTAATATAAGTATGAGCCATTCAAATCAATCAGTGGAGAATAAGTTTAATACATTAAATAGCTGTCACGATCTAACCCAGGGCTTCAAATTAATCATGACGAGTACAAACGGTCGGACGGTGAAAAATAAAAATCTCTATATTCATTTACTATAAGGAGCATTCAATTAAATGAAAGAGCCGCAAAAAAAATTAAACCAAAGCAGTAAAACTAAATTTACCATTACGTGTTGTTTGCATCTTCTACAAACATTTTTTTCTATTGCTCATCTCTTAAACAATTAGTTACACCTATAAAAGTTAGTTTAAAATAATAGTAGGCTAACCAAAGCCAGTGAATACTTACACTCCTAAACTATAGCAACATGATGGGAAAAGAGCAATGTGCATGTCAATTAAACTTTTAATAAATCAATATAAGACATTTGATAGTCTAAGAATATAATCACTTATGTTATTTCAAGTTATTCGATGGATTTTACTAAACCCTTTTATATTTGTGCAGGTGTTACAAGAGCATCGTCTAAAAATTATATCAATTAAGGTACTTAAATATTAATATCATTTTTTTATATGCGTGTGCGGGTATCTCAGCATTCCTCATAAGTATCATAAAGGAGTGACTTCATCACAGTTAAGCTTATACAAACAAGCAATGTACTTAGTTCATATCATTCACAATGTTACATCGCTTGATATGTAATATTTATTATTACACTGCATAAACATTTCATAATGTGAGACTACAAATATTCACAGATAAAATTTAAAAATAGAAAATCGATTTCACAAATTAAGCATGAATGACCATTCAAAAAACTAGTTTAGAAAATATATAAAAATGATATTATAATTTAAAAATAGGAATATTCACATCAATGTCAATTAATTTATGTTTGGATTTACATTGACATTGACTCTTCTAAAATTGAAGTCTATAATAACATGATATATTGCTAAAATTTATTTTATTCATATTATTTTAATAAATTATTCTTTAAATTATTTAAGTATTATTTTCATCATTTTACGTTATGAAATCCTAATCAATTTTATTTTGTTATTCAATATATTTTTAAAATTCATTAATATAAACTAAAACTTACCCTATCAAAGCTTGCTCCCAGCAATCTCTCTCATTTAGTTCCTGCACTTCTCTTTCTTTTATTTCCATCCAAGCTAAAATTCTAAATAGAAAGCAAAATAATGATACAATGTGTGGGAGGGCCCGAGCATGGCACCCTGCCCACATAAAAATCATAAATTAAAAACCACAAAAAGATTTTAAAACTAGAAAAAACAGAAAATATATTAGATACTAAAATAAAAAGCCTAATAGTGTCGAAATGCATAGTATCAGGTGGCTAGAGAGCGACTTGTCTCTGCCTCTAGTTCTAGGTAATGATCAAGCTAATAAGCTAGTAAGATAGTAAGATGATTGTCATTGCCAATAGTAACCAATGTATCATCCAATATGTTCCCGAGCTGGAGTCGGCCTCCATTCTTCTTCCTCTTCCTCCTCGAATAGACATGTCATTCCTCTTTCGAAGAATCAGTCTGATGGGGTGGTAGGGAGCCAGAAGGAATCCCACCCGTTGTACCCACAATAGGTTCTAGTACATGTGAAGTATGAGTTGTCTCTATATCGGATACTTCCTGAAGAAGTGGAGCTACGAGGCTCTCCTGATTATCAGTCTGAACACTATCATTTGTACGTAATAGTCTATCAAATATTATTTTTCATGGGGTTTGAAAGTGCCAACATCACATCACTCGCAGTAACAGTAATAGCAGTGTCATGGGGGTCCTCAGGGGCAACAGACACCTACTGTCTAGTAGTATCCTCTCTGGGTGGAACTAAAATGTCCAGAGCAGTGGGGTTAGGCCTATCCTTATTCACTTGAACCTTAGATTTCAAATTTGGATGAAACTTGTGGCATTTATCAAGGATATGACCAAGCATCTTACAATGGGTACAATATGGGGGTTTCTGCTCCATGACAATTTGTTGTCAATAACCATTATGGGTTGTGCCCAGCCAGACTTCAGTAACATCAGGTAAAGTAATATCCATTTTCACAAGTATTCTGGCCACCGGGAGTCTGATTAGGTTGAAAGTAGGAAGATCTAGCTTCAAAGAATCCTCAAGGATGACCCCAATAGAGTAGAGAACCTGATGGTGAAAAAAATACAGCTTCAGACCATGTAAACTAAACCATATAGGTACAGTGGGAGTTTCATGATTATGATTGAAATCAGAATACCACTTGAGTAGTTTCATAGATTTACCAGCGATGTTAAGATATTTTCTAGAGAAAATCTGAATATAGTCCTCAGGCACGGTTAACTAAACCAATACATGTTTATCATCAATGAGCCCCACTTTCCATTTTCCTGTTAATTTGAAGTCATCGAAACTTTTCCTGATAATTTTCATAGGTGGGTGTCCCCACTGAAATTTTCCACTAAGAGCAAATTTGAATTTGTCATGCAGCGTTGAAATTTCTGACGAGGAGAAAGAAGAGTGTTGTCTTTCCACTTTCTCTACATGCATTCTTAATAAAGAGACAGTTATCTGTACCATCACGATTTTTCTTTAAACTTGAAGGGAAGACAACCGCCGTCTCCCCCTGAGGCAAAGGAGGTTTTGTCAGGTTCAACTGAAGAAGAAGGAAGCTGCATCACAGCAAAGAGAAGTCCTGCAAGTCGGGCAGATGGCAAAAAATATGAGCCGAATAGTTCAAGGCAAAGTTGCGCAGAAGACAGGAACCGCAGATGAAATGCGGAAAAGACAGGGAAAGAGAAGTCCTGCAAGTCGGGCAGATGGCAAAAAAGATGAGCCGAATAGTTCAAGGCAAAGCTGCGCAGAAGACAGGAACCGCAGATGAAATGCGCAAAAGACAGGGCAACGAAATCGCAGCTCGGCAAACACGAAACCGCAGCTCGGCAAACACGAAACCGCAACTCGATCCGCACAAAAAAGAACTGCAGAAGCTGGAAGGCTAGTTAGAAGGCGCGAAGGAGGAAACGACAAAACCGCAGCAGCAAACGTCGAAGTCCTTTGTCGTTTGGCGCAAAAGAGAAGACGATGATCGCAAGGTAGAGTCCTTCATCGTCGTTGTCGAGTGCGAGAACTTCATCGTCTAGGAAGGAATCAAACTAGGGTTTCGCCGTCGGGCGAAACCCTAGCATCGAGACACAAATATATATATACATAGTTTTCTAATTTAATCATCTTAAAATTATTAATGCTTTCTCGATCGAGCCGTAACCCACTCGAAAAAAGAGTTTCTTTCCCCTCTACACGCGAAATCCACCTCCTTCCTACAAGCACGAGAGCTCCTTCCTCTCATCTTCCTTTAATCGGCCAGGGCACCACTCTTCCTTACATTGCAGGACTACTAATCCTCGCACCTGAAGCTGCTCTTCATCGCCTTCATCGCCTTCATCGAGCCCAAGTCTTGTTTGTTGTCTACACTGATCGAAGACGCCGACAGCGTCGATGTCGCTGCCTTTGGCTAGGTGAAAGCCCTAGCGTCACGCGTCCTCCTGATTACAATTCATTTACTCTGCTCGACGCCTCCTCCTGCGGCATCCTCCTCTCTATTGTATGCATCGTTCTACAAGTATATCTGATTACAACCATTTACTAAGCAAAGTATAACCTTTCGAGTCCCTGAATGTTTGCTTCCTCTCCCTCTTTTCAACTCCCTCAAGAACACAAAACGAGGCATCACAATCGCACTAAACAAGGGCAAATGGAAAATTAGGATTCAGAAAGCCAAATACTTGGGATAAGGGTATTGCATAATTTAGGTGTGGAAGAGAACTATTGGCTATGTCAATGAAATCATTGTAGTTCAGAATTTCGGTAGTCCCTCTACAAATAATAGATGACACTGAAAAGAATGTAGCAGCTAGGAGGGTTGCGAACGGGAATATAAACACGAGCATGTAATGAAGCCTTTCCCAATCACTGCACATGCACATTAATAATATCATTTCATAATTAGCAATAAGAAATTTCTGATATAGGAACATCACAAGAAATGCATGCCATAGCCTTTAAATTATATCAATGAAAGAAAAGATGGAGTACCAGCCGTGTTTATATTTTGCAAGAGAATCCTGAAACACAGAGAGAAGCACTTTACTTCAGCAAAATTCAGTTTTCGGTGAGATGCCAGAGAATAACTGGTGAAGAAAAGAAAAGGCCGTATCAAGTTGCTAGAAAGCCAACCAACAGTTTCATGGTTACTAAAACCATCTGCTAAAACTTCCCACTCCTCTTGAAGCTGCTCTCCAGCCCTTTTAATCACATAGTATCGCCTCCAAACTCGCTGAAGAGAGAGAGAGAGAGAGATTATGAGATGTGGGGAAGATGAAAAGATCCGACAACATCCAAACAGCTTGTACCAAATTGTAATAAAATGTCTACAACGTTGATATATGAAATGAAGAGAAATATACCAAATTGTGCTGCTTAAGTGCTCTTAAGTATAAGAATTACAAAGAGGAAAACTACAACTTTTCTCTTACAACGGATTGTAAAGCATCAAAACTACTATCACGTCCACGCAAAGTTAACTTCCCGTGAAGAAAATTCTCAATTCAAATACATTGCAGGGAAATTTGGCATGAAATAACAGTTATTGCATGATAAATTATTACACGTTTCTTCCGCTCAATGGAGCTTTTACACCACAGCAGTGCAGTTGTATAGATAGCTGCATGATGCACCGCACATGTTGGCAATTTGTGACTTTTAAAAAAAGAAATGCAAGGTCCAAACGGAACCACAGTTCATTTCCATGCTGGCCAAAGATAATTCAGGTATAACAGAAATCTGTCATTTAGAAAAAATATGGAAAAAAATAACTATAGGACATTGTAGAAGAAAAATGAAAATAAAAAAAAAAACATAGACATTTATATACAACTAATGAAGATTCATCGTTCAAACTAAGATACAGAACCAATATGACTGAATATATTTTTTATCAACTAATGCTGGAGATAGAGCTCTAGTTGGACCAGGAACCTCAAAAATTAGAAACAATGTTGGGATGAGAGGTACAATGACGTCCACGCCATTGCAACATACACTGCAACAAAAAGAAACATGCAGATCTTACACTACATAAAGGTTGCAAATGGTACCATCTCCCTGTTAGGGGATATAGTTCCATCTTATCGGCATATGAGTGAAAGACAACAGACAGGTTCTTGATGATGGTTTTTTTTGTCACAAAAATGCTACAACAAATAGGTTATTCCCTTCTACTTATCGGTACTCTTGCAAAATCTCTGTTATGGAGACTAAAATTAGAAGGCTAGAAGCAATAGAAATCAGGCAGTAAATTAAAATTATACACCGGTTATAATCCAAAATTGCAACAAGGTGAAATATTAAAATTGTTCATAATGAATATATAATGATTATTGCCAATATTAATCATGTAACTTAATAATTTAAATATAATCAACAACAATGTTTAAAATCGTTTTCATCAACAGAATTGAAGGCCTTTCAGTCAATCAGCTATCTCGAAAAAGTAAAATTGATACTAATAATAGAATTTCAGATGTAAAGAGTGCTATAAATTGGATGAAGTTTATACTAAAAATGCATCAAAAGAGAATAAAGCTCAAACGTATCGCCAAGAATGAGATGTTAAGCGTTGAATCTGAGTTAATTAGATGTAGATCATGAAAAACTAGTCCTGTGGATGATTGTCCCTCGTATTTTCATTTACAAAAAAAATAACCAGAGTTCCATGCCAGAAAAAAAAAAATGGGATCCTTAAATTATGAGAAAACTTCATATGGATCATTTATATTAGCAACTATGTTAAACAAATTGAAGGGAAAAATTAGTATTTATTACAAGAATAAGTTTATAAGAGATTTCATCCCACTAGGGACGAAACATGAACAAAACATCAAAACAAAAATAATTACGATCTCATGAGTTTGGTGAAAATGATATGTTTTAAAGACAGTATAGATAAGAATCCACACCTCTGAATAATAAAAAGTTGAAATAAATTGTTTAACAAAACTTAGAGCAAGTAAATTTCTTCATAAGGTATAGTAAAATTAGAGGTGTAAACTAAGTCCAGTCAAGCTTGGGCAACACCTGGCTTCAGCTCAAGTCGGGTCATGAGACGCTCATTCATATGAATAAGCGAAGCTGATTGACATTCAAGCAGTAACTATAATAAACTAACTTAAAAAAAAAAAAACTAAATTAAATGTGAAATTAAGTTTACATACATATCACACAAATCTTATGTATTTACATATCTATCTCACATCTAAAGTTTCATATTTACACACAACACACAAATCTTTAATATCACATCAAAATAAAACTTAACACTTTCTCAAAGTCAAACACACATTTTCATGCATAGGTTTGAACCACAAAGTGCTATGTATGCTAATATGGAAGTTTAGGTGTGAGATATGTAAATACAAAAGAATTGTGTGCTATGTATGTAAATTTCCCACAAAATAAAGGTCTCCTTTTTAAATATTATAACTCTATATTTATACATTTGAATTTTACTATATTTCAAATTAATTTTATATTAATAATTTGTATTGAGCAAGCTCACGAGCTGACAAGTTGAGTTGGAGTTAGTTCAAGCTTGAGCTCATTAAGCTCAATTCATGGGCAATTAATCAGGCCAAGAAAAAGACGGCGACGAGTCAGCTTGACTCAGCTACACCAATTAAAATTCATACAAATATTACTACCTCTATTCTAGCTAACTAAATATTATAATTCTTGATTTAACCAAAATCAAGAAAAACAAGTTTTAGAGTGTAATAACTGAAAATTTTAACTTATCTTTTTCTTTTCCCACACCATCTGCTACTTCCCAATCTACTCAATCGCACCGCCTCTCCGGCTATAAGTATTGAGCTTGGGCCAAGGCATGAACAACTCCTCGCTTCCTCTCGCAAACCTCTACCGAAACCCTTTGATATCCCTTCTATCTTTTAGTCGACCTTGGGCTAGGGCATGAACAACTCCTCGCTTCCTCTTGCAACCCTCTACCGAAGCCCTTTGATCTCCCTTATATCTTCCTTTCTCCTGATCTTCCTCTCCTAAAATTGCCTGAAAACAACGACTTCATGAACGAAACCCCGTGATATTGTCACGATTGGAGCTAACAGAGAAGACAACGACAGGATTGTGCTATACTGAGACCCAAAAATCTCATCTTCCTCTTCCTTCAGTTCACTCCTACCCAAAATCGTCAAGGAAACCTCTGCTTTTTTCCATCTCACACACTTCATCTTCTCTAAATCCCAATGCATGGCAGAGGAGGAAACGGGATTTAAGAAACACAGGATTAAACAATACTTTTATTGGTTATTATGTTTCTCTAATAAAATTTATTTAGAAATATATTTTTCCTCAACAAAATATAGCAAAAGTAATAAGATATTGTTTCAATTGTTAGAAATATATTTTTCCTCAACAAAATATAGCAAAACTAATAAGATATTGTTTTAATTGTTAGTTAAAGTTTAATTAGGTTTATAAGTTCTTACTTTTAATAGTAATTATTATTATTATAATAATAATAATAAAGTAAGAAAAATAATAATAGTAATAATAATCATAATAATGTACGTCGATTAGATTATATCTAAGTAATAATTGTTTGATTAATCTTACCCTCTAATTGATTTGGGATCGATAGTCGAACCGTTGAATTTGTTGAAGTATCACGTTTATCGCCTCGAGGTAAATAATCGGTTTTTCTTATGGGATAAATGTATTAATTGCTAGTTAAGGATGTTATCCTTGCTAATCGTCTTAGAATCCTAGCAAAGTTTAGATTTGTCATTCAAACCATTTGAATTCCGTGAATATAATTGCTACGGATTTCATTTGTGTTCATAAATGACTTTCATGTAATTAGCATTGTTTTATTATTGCATAGATTCATGTTTTCACATGTCATGTTTAAGCAATTATTATTTTTTTTATAGCAAGAATATGTGAAATTTCATTATTACAGTTTCACCAATGGTCGGACATTTTACAGTTATATTATTGTGTTTTGATTGTGATACATGAAATATATCTAATACTATAATATAATTATGTCGGTATTAAACCCTTTAGATGATGGCTAACCTAACCGACGGGTGCACAGAGTGACAACTCTACAAGTAATTATTGAATTTCCTTAGGACTGGTGCCTACATTTCCTGATTTTAAGGTGTCGTAGTAATATATATATATTTATTTTAGGAAAAGAGCTACTCATGGCTCTTTATAGCCCTAAAGGTTCCTCCTTCCGCATTACAACTCCATTCAAAAAACAACTCCTCACAAAAAAGAAATAAAGATGAAACAAAGGTAAATGTAAACCAAAAGTACATGTATCCAACCAAAACATATACCCAAAAAGTGAAGTATACCCCATATGAACATGTATAAAAAATGAAACAAAGGTAGTGCAAGTTGCAAGCCAAAAACTGACGTCTTGAAAGCTAGAAAGAGAACCAAAGAGCAAGTAAATTCAAAAACCTGCCGCGCAAAAACAATATTCCCAGAAAGATTACTACAATAAATCCCTTAAGCCATAACTCCACGAACCCCCCC